AATCGTGGTCCGACGGCGTCTCGTTTTCCCTTTTCACAGCACATATCCGCGATCTCGGACGAACCGAGCGCATGAAAACCGACCTTCAAACCTTTCTCGACTCTCTTGGTACAGCCCCAGTCACAGCATTTTGACGACAAGGCAGGTTTTTGTCTGGTTCCTTTCAAAACAACGCAGGAATACGCGTCTCAAATGGGCACTTCCGCCCACAGCCCCAGACCGGAAGTGCGTCTGACGCGCCACCACCGCGCCGGGACGTAACAGAGATGAGTTCGTGTATACAATGCCGTTTCAACTCAGGGTGGCGGGACATATTTTTAGGAAAGGCGCCCGCTGCCCCTTGTCTCCCCTTGGCGCCGTCTTTTCCAGTTAAACGCGGCTTCTGTAGATTGACGGCAGAGCTTTCGCGCGGCTTTGCAGGAGCGAATATGTGTGTGTCGACGGACTTGGGGAAAACGAGCCGTTTCAAAGATGCGGCCATACATAAATTAAATAGACAGTGCCTGGGCCCGTTCGAGTGAACGCCGACTCCCAAACATTCATGCTGCAGTCGTGATCGGCCTTTAGCCCAGTTGAGATTCGCCGACCTTACAACCGCTCTGCCCTATCATATCTCTGCACCTGTCCTCTCGACCCTGACGAATGAGCTAACTACCCAGAAACAAGTAAGTGTTCCTTTGATGCAGAAAATATCCAGACGAAATGCAATTGAATATAATTTGGAAGGATCCATTGCTTGTTTAAAGGGATACTGAACCAAAGAATTTAGTGCCCATAATAAGTGGCGCACGTTCTTTCCACCAGCCAGCAGCCGCCGGTGCGCGCGAGCACACGCAACAAAAATGACGTCACAGACCTCCATTCGCGGTTGGGGGTGACAGTGAAATGCATGGGCTTCGGACTAAAGGAGAATAAAGACAGGCTTTTCATCTCTACAAGTGAAAGCTACGTGCTTGTTAGACCGATTCATCGCTTACTTTTTACACCAGGCACCACTGTGTAGATGAAAAACTTGTCTTTATTCTCCTTCGGTCCGAAGCCCATACATTTCACTCTCATCTCAACCACGAATGGAGGTCTGTGACGTCATTTTTGTTGCGTGTGCTGGCGCACACCGGCGGCTGCTGGCTCGTGGAAAGAACGTGCGCCACTTATTATGGACACCAAATTCCTTGGTTCAGTATCCCTTTAAGGTTTTGTCTAAGTTCAAAAGTTATAGTCGCCGAGCTGCAACGTGCTTTCAAAAATATTCAACAATTATTCGCTTTCGTTCTTTCAAGTTGCATCCAGAACACGTGAAAACACGAGTTTGGGTTGGCAATGCCGCATGTGCTGCGCTCTGGACATTCCAAATATACGGCGAACAACCGACGAACTTGCATGGCAGCGTTCGTTTCGCTCGCTGCGTCAACAGTGTTTTGACGCCGCGAGCGGCGTCGAAGCCGCCGGGCCATTTTTGTCGCTTGTTTGCAACGTACTCGCTCTGCTGATTTAAGCCGCTCTTCCCGTTGCCGCAGCAGTTGAGCACTAGCTCCAACCAGAATGTCTGCCAAGGCAATGTCTTTAAGCTGCCCTAAATCGACTGCTCACGTAGTGTCGGTCTGAAATCCAAGTTTCAGAAAGGATAGTGTCACCGCAATTTTCGAGATACTTATCTCTAGCGTGGTCACCCGAAAGGTTTTAATTCACAAAGTTCATCCCCGACAGGTAAACCGATACAAAAGCTCTCAAGATCTATATTATGTTATCAGAGTTTAGTAAAAACGAAAACTCCACAAAAAATATAAACACTCCCCCTCTCCCCCCCCCCCCCCCCCCCCCACCGTTTTACACCGAGGAACCGGCCCCCCCCCCCCCACCCCCCCAAAATGGAGGTCTGGATCCGCCCCTGATTTCAATTCAGGTTTTAGTAGCAACTAAGAAGTCATTTTGACGAATATGTAGGTTATGTATTATATTACATACTATGGGTGCACTAAAGCAATATAGTGTATTTTTCGGGTTGAAAAATGAGCTTAGTTGACTAGCTATTAGGTGAACTGCTGAATAAAAGTATATTTTACAGAAAGAGAGATACTACTTAAACTCAGCCAAATGGTTCTAGCCTGGAGCACGGAGACGAATGCGGGCAAACTGAAGAGAGTCTTCATCGGAGATTCACGCAGAACCACTCTGCATTGAACTCGACTTTGAATCCTAAACGGAGAAATTGAGTATCTTTCTGTGGCCGGACAGCCTGAGCAATTTAGACGTATATCGCTGCTGGCTTCGACAGGGGTATAATCAGCGGTGTAGACTTTCTATTTTCCCGGGGGGGGGGGGGGGGGGGGGGGGGAGGAGGAGGGCAGGGCAGGGCAGGCTGAGAAGTTCTCCGGGGGGGGGGGGGGGGGGTTGCGCAATTTTTTTTACAGCGGCAATTATCAGTAGTTTATTTTAGGGGGTACATTTTACAGCGTATGCATATCGCCATGTGTCCGTCGCTATGTGCGTTATTTTGTTTACATGCCACTACTATAGGTGGTATCCACTGAGCCTGCAGGTTCGATTTTGCCAGGGAGCGCCACCGTCGATCCGCCATCTTCGAGGTCGCGGTTTGACTGGCTTGTGTACCAGGTCCGACGTTGGTAGTGTGTGATAATTTCATATAGTTGAAGAAGCTTCGTCGAACAGAAGAGAAAAGAAGGTTTATCTCGGGGGCGGGCCGTTTTAATTTTCTTGTTTCCGCCGAATACCGTGTGTAAAGGTTGAACCGCATGTAAGCAATTTAGCGAGCGACGGGACGGGACGGGCGACAGCGACGAGACCCGCTTCGCTGTCGTTCGGTCACTCGCGCGACGAGGCAAATCGCATGAAACAACGGGAGCAAGCGACCAAGGCGATTAGTTACGTTTTCTAGGAATCCGAAAACCGAGCGACGTGACGACCGATCGCGAGGAATCTCCGTCGCTCGTCGCCGACTCCTGTCGCTGTCACCGTCGCTCGCTAAATCGCTTACATGCGGTTCACTGTCACTCGTCGCGTAGCTCGGTTTTGGGATTTCTAGAAAACTTAGCGCTCATCGCCTTGGTCGTGTGCTCCCGTCGCTTTCATGCGGTTTGCCTCGTCGCGCGGGTGACCGAGCGGCAGCGAAGCGGGTCGCCTTCGCTTGTCTTCCCGCTCGCCAAATCGCTTACATGCGGTTTTTAAATCGCTTGGGCTAATGAAAAATGCGCCGCATTTTTCATAAGCTGCACACTCTGTGAGCCGCACGGTATATTTCTGCACAGGAACGAACACCGAAGGCACGACGTATGTACGACACAGCGGCGATGGAGCAACACGGTTACACGGCCGTAGTACAGAAAATCCACTAGAGAAAAACAATAAAGAAACTAGCAAAACAAAACAAAAGAGTAATCACACCGTGCTACGAAAGCACCAAGGTAGAAAAATTAGTTCTTGCAAGAGCTCCCGCCGTGGGCACGGCGGGCGACACGGAGCGCTTCATGGAGCCGAGGGAGCAACGCAGCCGCGGTAAACGAGTCCGATAGCTGCAAAAACGAACTAAACCAAACAAAGAATACTCCCACGGCGCTTCAAAAGCACCAAAGTATAAGAATAACTACTAGTTTCGGTCAAAAAGACCCTTTAAAATTGTAAAATACTGCCAAACCACGCTCAAAAGGTCCGGCCAGATGACACCCGCGATTGCAAGAGACCTCGAAGATGGCGACCGTGGTGGGCGATGCCAGCGAACCTAGCGAGTGACGTCAAGTGAATGTCACCTATAGTCGGATGCAACCTGAGAACAATCTTTTAGCTCCACCCACAAGCGCATTGCGCCCATCTGAAGTGCCTCCGCCGTCGAGAAAGTAGCTCGCTAGCAACGTTGCTTTTTCTTCCTCCAGGAAACGTATCTTAAACTACTACAATATTTATTTAATTCATTCAGGACATTTAAATAAGTTAGAATACGTTTTTGTTAACGAAATATCTGTTTAGTAAAGAAAGAAAGTCATGTCCAATGTACCGTCTTCCCAATTCATTTTCTGTCCAAGATACTGTCTAACATACCGTCTTCCAGCGCCTTCGATTGAGTGAAAGCGAAGCACTTATAGTTCCTGCAAATAATAAATATTTAGTGATTTACTTAGTTTTGTGGGCTTTGCGCACGAAATGTGTGCCTTTATTTTGTTGGATGAATAGAAAACAAGAATAATTATACTTTTCGGGTTTTGAAAATCGGCACCCTCCCAAGTCATCGACACCACCACCGCGCCCCGCTCTCTTTGTTTTCCGTCATGGATCCCACTGAGGTCACATCGGAAAGCGATTCCCCTGATTCTTCTTGGACAAAACAGCCTGGTGCAGCCTTACCGGCGACACCAAAGCGGTTTTTCAAGAAGCACAAGCGAGGTCGGGTTTTGAACAGCGGCCAGCGGGAGCTGATCCTGAACGCTTACGTTCGGACGTGACATACCGAGCCAGACTTGACAGTCAACGAGGTCTGTAAAACTGTCAGCTGGTTGCCTGGTGTCGGCGTGTCGAGCGTCCACGAGATCAGAAAGAAGGCGAAGGAGAATGACGGACAGGTTGCGACACCCTCTCGAAAGCGACCTGCGAGTTCAGGCAAGCAACGGCACAGCGTGACGTACGGCGACTTTGTGCTGTGTGCAATGAGATATTGCGTGCACCGTTTTTTTCGCCAGAACGAGATCCCGACCGTCGCAAAGATAATAGCTGAGTTCTGTGCAAGCCCTGAGCTCCCCTCGCTGCAGAAATGGACTGTGCTTCGCCTTCTGCACGACATTGGCTTCGAGCGAAAGAAGACTGGTCGAAACTCGCGCATGATCGAGCGAGACGAGATCATCACGTGGTTGGAGAGGTACTTGCGGGACATTGCACGTCACAGGCAAGAGGGTCGGCAGATCTTCTACCTCGACGGAACGTGGGTGACGGCAGGGCACACTGCCTCGACGGCATGGGTGGACTGCACCGTGACCTCGTCCCACGACGCCTTCATGAGGGGTCTGACGACGGGCCTGAAGCAGCCGTCAGAGAAGAGCCAGCGCCACATCGTCACGCACATCGGCAGCGAGGACGGCTTCGTCGCTGGGTGCCTGGACGCCTTCCGCGGACTAAAGACCGGCGACTACCACGAAAAGATAAACGGCACACGATTTGAGACGTGGTTCGAAGCTGTTCTTCAGATTCTGCCGACAGGGAGTGTCATCGTAATGGACAATGCTTCCTACCATTCTCGGCGGTTGGAAGCAGTGCCAACATCGGGTTCCCGGAAGGAGGTGATCCAGCAGTGGCTCACGTCAAAGGACATCTGGTGGGGTGCCAAGATGCAGAAGAAGCAGCTCCTTGACATAGTGGCGCCGGTCAAGCCACTGTATTTGAAGTATCGCGTCGATACTGCTGCAGAGAAGGCTGGTTGAACGGTAGTTAGACTTCCACCCTACCACCGTGAGTTCAACCCCATTGAACTCATCTGGGCACAGATCAAGAACGGCGTTGCAGCCAGGAACACAACGTTCAAGATCAGCGACGTTGAAGGCTGCTCAAGGAAAAAGCCGAAAAGGTCACGGCTGACAACTGGCGCAATGCTGTGGGGCATGTCGTTGGAGTGGAGGAAGGCTACAGACGAGGCGGTTCTACAAGTACCCATGTAGAGCCGATCGTCATCGAACTGGGTGAAGACGACACATCTGAGAGCGACCTGTCTGGTGTGGAGCCGCTCGAGGAAGTGTGAAGCCTACACCTTCAACTTCAACAACTTCACCTTCAACAACAACACCTTCAACAACTTAAACCGAAGACTGAGGGGGACCCAGATCAACGTGACCAAAGCATGTCGACTTGTAATCGTCATCAAAGATCATGGGCTGCCCTTGCGCCCATCACTACATCTGCGCTGTACGTCTGTAAACATGTTTAGAGTATGTTCAGTTCATACCGATCATCTCGAAACAGATCAAAATAATGGAATTCAATTAAAAACATGAAACTGAAAAGAGCTAACAGCAGTGGCATGCACAGTGACTCCACCTTGCAGAAAAGAGAAGCGAAGTAAAAAAAATTATCATGACTGCGAGGGTCGATTCGATAGTTCCGTCACAATTTGTTCTTCTTTTGCGAACCTTCTTCGACCTGCTATCATTATTTTTAAGCTGTTTGTCTGGCCGTGTCGTTCTCCAGTTGCTGCTCCTCCTGTACTGTTGTCTTATTATACACGTCCACTTATATTCGTATTATCTTCTCTTTTTTTTTTAGGGGGGTTCAATATATAGGGGTTGACTTATTTTCGAGTAAATACGGTGCCTGACTTGCTTCTGGAACTGTTTTTGCTTGGAATGAACGGTATTCTTTGGTTTTAAGGTGCTCTGGTTTTCACAGTCGAGGGCATAGCAGCAGTGTTGTTTCTCTTAATAATAATTGGGTTGTGGGGATATTTATACAGCGTGTAGTTGGTCTGCCATTAAACTTGCGACGAGTCACACGCTGTAGATGAGCAATTTTGCCAGTGCAGTACGACTGCTAACCTGGGGTCTTTAACGTGCTCACGCAGTAGTGATACACGACCGCACGCCGGTACGATGCTCTTTTTGGTAGTGTTGCAGTGTCTCAAGTTGGTTGACCCCAGGGGCCCATGATTTAGGGGTGCAGTCAGGGTTTGAAATATTTCGCACACTGACCAACGTCTCCTGCACGGTGATAACCAAAATGACACGAGGGAGAGGTTTGAGTCTCAAATATCACTGGCTTTATCAGGTCGCCATTCCGACGGAAGGTGCTATGGCAATCATGTTACCTTACGACTAATCACGACGAAAACTGAAAACGGCAGGCTTGTCATATGAATGAATACCGCTGACAAACCCATTTTCGCAATGTTTATTTCTTTGCTGTAGCACCACCAGTAGTGCGGACGACGTCTGGTGAAGCAACTCAGTGCTGGAAGTTTTTATGCTCATCTCACGCAAGGTATAGATACAGGGTGTCCCAGCGCGCTGTTCCGTCGTAGAATGGACCGCATAGATCGGTCGGTGAACAGAGCCTGATGAAACTTTCCACAAGGGTGTATTTGAATACACCTTCGTGGACATTTATCATACTAAAATTTCATGCCTAGGTTTCCGAAACGAAAAGCGAGAAAAGCCGTAAATCTCTATGGGCGGACAGACCGGGACGCGGACCGCGTCCCAGTCTGCATGAATTTACGGCATTTCTTTTCTCGCGTTTCGTTTAGGACACCTAGGCTCATTAAAATTTCGTATGATAAACGCACCGTCTAAATACACCTCCGTGGAAAGTTTTATCGCGCTCCGTTCACCGACTGGGGTGCTATGTTGCGCTTTTTGCACTCCCAGGAGACTTGGAAGAAGAAAGTGACGTCAACGATACAGCAAACGTAGATTGGATGTTGACAGCGAAAACAAAATCAGCAACCAATCTGCATTTGCTGCGTGTTGACGTCACTTCCTTCTCCCTAGTCTCCTGGGAGTCCTGGGGTGCTATGTTGCGCTTTTTGCACTCCCAGGAGACTTGGAAGAGGGAAGTGACGTCAACGACACAGCAAACGCAGATTAGATGTTGACAGAGAAAACAAAATCAACATCCAATCTGCATTTGCTGCGTGTTGACGTCACTTCCTTCTCCCTAGTCTCCTGGGAGTCCTGGGGTGCTATGTTGCGCTTTTTGCACTCCCAGGAGACTTGGAAGAGGGAAGTGACGTCAACGACACAGCAAACGCAGATTAGGTGTTGACAGAGAAAACAAAATCAACATCCAATCTGCATTTGCTGCGTGCTGACGTCACTTCCTTCTCCCTAGTCTCCTGGGAGTCCTGGGGTGCTATGTTGCGCTTTTTGCACTCCCAGGAGACTTGGAAGAGGGAAGTGACGTCAACGACACAGCAAACGCAGATTAGATGTTGACAGAGAAAACAAAATCAACATCCTATCTGCATTTGCTGCGTGTTGACGTCACTTCCTTCTCCCTATTCTCCTGGGAGTCCTGGGGTGCTATGTTGCGCTTTTTGCACTCCCGGGAGACTTGGAAGAGGGAAGTGACGTCAACGACACAGCAAACGCAGATTAGATGTTGACAGAGAAAACAAAATCAATCCTATCTGCATTTGCTGCGTGTTGACGTCACTTCCTTCTCCCTAGTCTCCTGGGAGTCCTGGGGTGCTATGTTGCGCTTTTTGCACTCCCAGAAGACTTGGAAGAGGGAAGTGACGTCAACGACACAGCAAACGCAGATTAGATGTTGACAGAGAAAACAAAATCAACATCCTATCTGCATTTGCTGCGTGTTGACGTCACTTCCTTCTCCCTAGTCTCCTGGGAGTCCTGGGGTGCTATGTTGCGCTTTTTGCACTCCCAGGAGACTTGGAAGAAGGAAGTGACGTCAACGACACAGCAAACGCAGATTGGATGTTGACAGAGAAAACAAAATCAACATCCTATCTGCATTTGCTGCGTTTTGACGCCACTTCCTTCTCCCTAGTCTCCTGGGAGTCCTGGGGTGCTATGTTGCGCTTTTTGCACTCCCAGGAGACTTGGAAGAGGGAAGTGACGTCCACGACACAGCAAACGCAGATTGGATGTTGACAGAGAAAACAAAATCAACATCCTATCTGCATTTGCTGCGTGTTGACGTCACTTCCTTCTCTCTAGTCTCCTGGGAGTCCTGGGGTGCTATGTTGCGCTTTTTGGACTCCCAGGAGACTTGGAAGAAGAAAGTGACGTCAACGATACAGCAAACGCAGAGTGGATGTTGACAGAAGAAAACGAAATTAACACCCAATCTGCGTTTGCTGTGTCGTTGACGTCACTTCCCTCTCCCTAGTCTCCTGGGGGTCCAAAAAGCGCAACATAGCACCCCTGATTTATGCGGTCCATTCTACGACGGAACAGCGCGCTGGGACTCCCGGTATACTGATCTCACCTGCGACTAATAAGCACGGCAATCTCAGCTCACCCCGCGGAAACCACAGCGAATTGAAGCAGCGGTGCCGGTACTATGTTGAGTAGCAACGTGGGGCAGAGGCGACAGAAATCCAACGAAGCAGACGACGTCCGGCGTAGCTTCTCACCTCTCAGCAGTGCGAAGCCTCGCGCCCGCTTCGAAATTTTCGTTGGCGATAGCGTCGCTGGATTCTCACGTTGTCGCGCAAAAACTGCTGCAACCGCAAGCCGATACCATTAAGATTTCGTGGCGTAACCTCGGGCACGTAAAAGACGGTGCAAAAAAGCAGAATAATTGTCACGAGAAACTAGCGTCGCGTTACTAAGGCCAGCAGCCATGTTGAGCTTTTTTTTTTTCAAAAGGATCGCGATTGGTCCACGATATCGTGACGTCATGAAAACGATTGGCTGGCGTTTCTCGGCGTAGGATTACATTTCCCTCTGAGAGGCATTTCCGTTTTTTTCTTAGCTTGCAACCGACTATAGAAGCTCGTTACATGGAGCGTAAACAGCATATCGGTAAGCATCGTGGCCCGGGGGTGAGGGGGCTCTGCCCCTCCCCCCCCCCCCCCGAATTTCACCAGGGGGGGCACGAGCCCCGTCGCCTTCCCCCCCCTCCTTAGACAACACCCGCCATCCTCAGGACGTCCTCAAAAGGTACAAACGTCCTCACGGTCTCAAGACGTCCTCAGGACATCCTGAGAACGTCAGTAGCTGGATCATAATAGAAATGTCCTTCCGAGGACTTATTGAGGACGAAGGGTACAAAGTCAAAGGTAATATATTCCTCCTCAATTTGATTGCGTTTCTAAAAAAAAAATGAATGAAATGGCTGCATAGCTATACACAGTTCATGTTTACTGCTAAACTAAATTTCACATACAAATTATTACATGTAGTTGTGCAAGTTTAGGACATCCTTTAACTATAGTTTTGATAAAACAATTCTTTAATAAAACCAGGACGCACTACAATTATTATTAATTTTGTATTTGCGCAGTATTACGGAATTCAGTTCATTGGCAACATTCAATTTAGGTGGCGCAAGCTACCGCCTACTAGAAGGCTTAACGTTATTGCAATTATCCACCCGTCCGAGAGACCCAGGCTAGCTAAGCCAAGCCAGGACAGAAACAGAAATAGCCTCGAGGTTGGTGATGGCTTGGTAATGTGGATGCTTGGGCTAGTTGGTAAATCATGCTTGGATGGAACCATAGAGTTATTATAATGTACGCTAGAGGTTCAACTGGCGCTAGTGTCTATGCGACTTCCGTGACGCTAATTGAAGCAGACAGCAACCAGTCCACTTCTCCAGTCTTCCTGTGTATTCCTATGGGAAAGCGCGCGTGCATTTTGTCTCTTCGCCGGAAAATAACACGGAACACTTTGGTTATTTTGGTCGTACCGAATAGTATGTACCTTGATTAACACTGTAAAAGTGTAATTGCTTTAGTTAGCGCATTTCT